AACACAACACACCAGAACAGATCAGAACACAACAGAATACAACAGAAGACAACAGAGCAGAACAGATCAGAACACAACAAAACACAACAGAACACAACAGAGCAGAACAGAACAGAACACAACAGAACAGAACACAACAGAACAGATCAGAACACAACAGAACACAACAGAACAGAACGCAACAGAACACAACAACACAACACAACACAACACAACACAACACAGCAGAACAGAGCAGAACACAACACAACACAACACAACAGATCAGAACACAACAGAACAGATCAGAACACAACAGAACAGAGCAGAGCAGAACACAACAGAACACAACAGAACACAGCAGCTGTACAAATACAATTTGATTAGATAAATAAATAAATACTTACATAAATAAAAACATCTTTTTTGTTTTTATCATGAAATAAAAATGATCTGATGTTGAATGAGTTGTATTATATTTTACTTTGTCGTTCTTGATGTAAATTGTTCATGTTGTTAATAAAGTTATTTATTTAAAAAAAAAAAGATCTATTATGCGTCACTTGTGTTGCTATGTCGTGACGTAAACGGAAGTGTTCCCGATCTGCAGCTGCAGCTAGCAGCGGCTAACGGCTACTACCAGCAACCTGAAGCTCCGAACACACAGACAGGTGGACAGACAGACAGACGGAGAGACAGACGAGTAAGACAGTCAACACTTCACATCGGGAGAGTTTATTCTTCTTCTCGTTATAAAACGAGAACAAAGAGCAGAAGAAGAGTTAAAGACGCGGAGCTAACTAGCTTTGTTAGCTGCTTGCTGTTAGCTGCTCCAGGTGTCTTTGTTTGATATGATTCCTTACAGAATACATAAATGATAAGAATAACAAAAACAAACAGACTTCATTCATTCATACACGTATATATTTTAATAATAATTAATAATGAAATAATAATGACCTGTTTTTAAGAGGAGAAAATTTTCAGGTTTCATTTGTTAAATGTAATTAATCTAATAAATGAATGAATATAGTAATAATATAATATTACATTCATTGATCTATTATCAATAAATAATCAGTTACTCTTCTAATTGATGATGTCATTGGTTTCACTGTGACATCAGATGCAGACTCAGCTCAAGGTAATTACCCACAATTCATAGCAATGTTAGGGTCTTAAGTTTCTTTGGGGGACACGGGTTAGGGTTCAGGTCTTACGGTCTTAGGGGGACACTGGGTTAGGGTTCAAGGTCTAAGACCTTAGGGGAGACACTGGGTCTTAACCTCAGACAAGGGAACAGGAAGTGACATAATGCTGACTCATGGTTACTGGAGGATGAACCTGTCTGTCTCTCAGGGTGTCTGTGGATGGAAGTGAGGAGCTCCACGATGGGACCGGAGAGAGTCTTACCGAACTCTGAGGACGAGCTGGGGGAGGACGAGCGACCGGCCGATGGAGCCATGCTACCTGTGTGGAACGGGGGGGAGGAGGAGGAGGAGGAGGAGGGGGAAGAGGAGGAAGTGAACAATGGAGGATATTATTACCAACCTCTAAACCAGGAGCCTGATGGGGGGCAGCCGGGGGAGGAGGGGGAGGAGCAGCAGCAGCAGGTACAGGTGAGTTGGGTTCATAGTCATTTATTACATTTGTTTGTATGAAACTAACACATCAGTGAGATGATGTCAGTTGTTTACTTCAGTGATTTAAATATGATAAAATAATAATATAATATAATTATTCATCATCATGATGTTTGTTGGCCTTGTCCTCACCTGTAGACACATCCCTGCTCTGATTGGCTGTGGACTCAGAAACAATTGTGATGACTGGGTTTACTGGGTGTCTCACCTGCAGGTGATGGGTCTCCACCTCCCTGAAGCCCCGCCCACAGACAGTGATGATGAGGAGGACCCTGAGGGGGCGGCGGCCCTGAGGAGCCGAGCATCGATCCCCATGGACGATGGTCAGACCTCAGTACACCGACTACTTCTACTTCTAGCCCTAACCCTTTAAAGCTGACAGCTTTACTTACTTTACACACAAAGATTTGTACAATCAAACCATTGGCATTCTGGGTAATTGTGGTGCCATTGCAATTTGCGTGGCTGCGTGTTTTGTTGTTATGCATCGCCGTGTGTTTTGTTGCGTCGCCGCGTGTTTTGTTGCGTTACGCGTCGCCGCGTGTTTTGTTGCTTTGCGCGTGACCGCGTGTTTTGTTGCTTTGCGCGTGGCCGCGTGTTGTGTTGCTTTGCGCGTGGCCGCGTGTTGTGTTGCTTTGCGCGTGGCCGCGTGTTGTGTTGCTTTGCGCGTGGCCGCGTGTTGTGTTACTTTGCGCGTGGCCGCGTGTTTTGGTGCCTTGCGCGTGGCCGCGTGTTTTGTATTATCATCTTTATTGATGAAGAACATTAAACAGCTGTGCTTCCTGTCCTCTGACATCACTTCCTGTCTCCCTACAGACCACGTGGAGCTGGTGAAGAGGACGATGGCGGCCGTAGCGTTGCCGTCTCTCGGCGTGCCGTCTTGGGCCACTGAGATCTCCGATGACCAGTGGAAGGACATGGTCCAGAACACTCTGGAGAGCCGGCAGAGCGCTGCCGCCCTGCGCTTGCCCCGTAGGAACAATATCAACGGACCCTGAACGCACCACGGCCACTTCAACAACCTCTACTGACCCTGAACGCACCACGGCCACTTCAACAACCTCTACTGACCCTGAACGCACCACGGCCACTTCAACAACCTCTACTGACCCTGAACCCACCACGACCACTTCAACAACATCAACGAACGCTGAACGCACCACCACAGCTTCAATAACAACTGTCCCTGAACGCACCACAATGGCTTCAACAACCTCGACTGACTCTGAATGAACCAATGACCACTTAGCTTCTGCTGACCCTGAACGCACTACGACTACTTCAGGGACACAACTTCACTTTTTCTTTGTTACATCAAAAACTTTCAGATTCAACTTGAAGTTTGTGAAACTGAATGTTGTTGAATTGAATCCCTTAGTTTCTCTGTTTAGAAGCTGATTCCAGTATTTAATATTCGTCCATAACAGTTTAATTAATGGCAGTGTGTTGACTCAAAGTGTTCCCATGTTAGCTGAGGCTAAATAAACAAAACAACAACAGTGGTGATGTAGATTCATCATGTTCTTCAATCCTCAAAACAAAAGTCTAAATTTAGTTTCAAGAAGAAAGCTTCAGTTCCTGATCTCAGATCAATTCTACAGTTTGTGAACAGACACACAGACACAAAGCTGATCCTCCAGCTGAAGACCACCGGACTCTAGACCAGCCGGACTCTAGACCAGCCGGACCCTGGACCTGAAGCCGGACTCGGGACCTGAAGCCGGATTCGGGACTCTGTCTAAAATGAGCTAGCTGATGGTAGGTAACTGACATAGTCGTTGACAGTAACGACGTGAACATCTTATCAAACTCGAGGAATATATAAAAGGACGTTTTGTTATCGTGACACTGTTCTAACTAGCTGGCCAACGTTGGTGCTCCTACATTCCTTCTTTTAGAGGTTTTTCTCCTGATACACGGAGTCGCTAGCTAACGTTAGCACGTGTTCCTGTGGAGTCAAAATGTCCAGAAAAGATGATATTTCAAGAGAAGAGAAGCCGGTCACAACTAGTTTTTAAAATCTCAGTTTTCTTTATAAAATAAGTTGTTTTTCTCATGATCTTTTCTTTTTAAATATTAACATTTTTATTCCTAAATTTGTGCACAAATTCAGCAATTTAAAGGCGCTAATAACTGCAACTAAGGATTAATTATTGTGATTATCGATTAATTGTATGACCTATAAAATGTCTAAGTGACTCATTCAGTTTAATATGATAAAAGCTAAGTCGACTAACTTGTTCATGAGTGAGATTTAGATTCTGAAATAACGTCGTTACTTTACTGTCAAACCCAGTGTGGGAACTTTGACAATCACTTGTTCACTGAATCATTTTATTTATTTAACCATATTGTTAAATGTTTTTTTAAATACTTTTGTCCCTTTTTTGACTCTGTACTCGGCTCCTGTTTATTTTTGTTACTGCTGATCTTTTTTTACAGAATCTAAATGTTGTGAACTGAACTTTAAAATCTGTTTTCATCGAATTTTACAAAACAAATGTATCGTAACTGTTCCTTTTTCAATCGAAAATAAAAGAAAAATCTAAACTTTTTCTGTCTCAATTGTGATAATTTGCTCACTATTACTGAATGGTTGTAAACAAAGTGATTGATCAAATAATTGGGAAAACAATCGACTGATTAATCAATAAATTCAATAATTAGGATAATTTCAAACATGGCCGCTCGTCTTCTGTAGAAATGAATGAAACTGTTTTAAAAAAGCAGCCCTAACCCTATTTAAATGTGTTAACGAGTTCTTTAATGATTGTATATCAAATAATCTGAACGTGTGTATATGTGTGTGTGTGTGTATATGTGTGTGTGTGTGTGTATATGTGTGTGTGTATATATATGTGTGTGTGTGTGTATATATGTGTGTGTGTGTGTGTGTGTGTGTGTGTGCATGTATATATATGTGTGTGTGTGTGTGTGTGTGCATGTATATATATGTGTGTGTGTGCGCGTGTGTATATGTGAGTGTGCGTGTCAATGTGTGTGTGCGTGTATATGTGTGTGTGTGTGTGT